ATCACATATGTTCTAATAAATTATATTCAGTAGCGATTTTAATTGAATATTTTGATTATTTATTTATTTTTCAAATTAAAACTGAACTTTATTGACTGTGTCCTTTTCCAGACTTTTTATTAATTTATTGTAATTAATTATTTGCATGCACTTAAAAACTAATTTTAAACGATGCCAAAGAAGGATAACTTCTCACGCGCCTACATAAGTACACGCACCCATATTTTTAAATTAACTGAACTCTATTGACTGTTTTGACTATCCTTTTCCAGTCCTGATATTATTTTATTGTAATTAATTATTTGTATTCAATTATAAACTCATTTTTAATGATGCCGAAGTATTAATTCTCATAAGTACGACGCACCCATTTTTTTTCTGAAAAATCAGGCGCTTTGTCTATCTTATACAGATATCTTCCCTGAAATAAATGATAAACCTAGCTATGGGCCAATTTTCAGATATCGCGTGGCACAGGCACGTAAAAATTTTACTTACGGCCCTGATGGCCGCTTCGAAATTTTCCTAGCCTTAAGCTGCAAGGCAGCGCCATCTCTTCGCATTGTAGGTAGCCCACAATGTCAAATTAATACTTTTTGAAGTATTAAACATTTAAAAGAAGAAATAGCAATTATAGTAATGTTTTTATTTATTTTTAAGCATTTAAATGCTAGATGTTTAAATCTAAAGAAAAGTTTTACTAGAAAAAAAATCCACGCGGTACAGATAGCGGACGGGACTCGAACCCGCACCCTTCGCAATCCGGGCGAATGCACTGACCAATTACGCTACCACGGCCCTGATTATTATATTTCTTCTCTCAAATGTTTAATACTTCAAAAAGTATTCATTTGACATTGTAGGCTACCTACAATGCGAAGAGATGGCGCTGCCTTGCAGCTTAAGGCTAGGGAATTTTCGACGCGGCCATCAGGGCCGTGGTAGCATATTTGGTCAGTGCATTCGCCCGGATTGCGAAGGGTGCTGGTACGAGTCCCGTCCGCTGCCTGGTTCGCGTGGATTTTTTTCTAGTAAAACTTTTCCGTTATTATGATTCTAGATTCCGTTGGAAACGTCGTGAGATCAAATATTAGGTACCTTTCCGCTGCACTGATAAATTGATAAACATCATTAGGGAAACGGAACAATATACTTCGGAAAAATTAGTATGCCGTCCCTAATTGCTTGGCTATTTACGAGTCTGACTAAGGTAATGTTATGATGTATTGATTTGGCCGAATTATGTTTACAAATCTTTTGGTAGGTATTATAGTAGAGGAAGGCATTTTTTCACTATAGTCTATTCACATTGGCGTGAGACAAAATGTAAACAAACCATAAAAAAGGATGATTTTTAAGGTCACGTTTGACAAAAGTAAAGATTAAATACTATTTACATAAGAAATTCAGGGAAACATTAAGTTAATTATTTTATAGCACAGTGTGACCTAAACCCGCACTTTACGCACGCTTTTCCGTGACCTAAGTTGCCTATTTCTGCACGGTGTGTAAATGAATTGACCAACTTCACTCATGTAGAAAAAATAAAAGGAAACACATTTAAATGCCATTTGGAGCTTAAAAACTCACAGCAAACAAATGACAAATTAGCGATAGGTTAGGAATTTTCAGTGACAGCCAAAACAAGGAGAAACGGTTAGCTATAATTCATTCCGCGAAAATTGTATCTTTTGGTCTTATACTATAATATAATACTACTACTTATAAGGGCGGGTTTATGTCACAGTAATAGGCAACTTAGGTCACGCGTATCGTAATGTACTATTAAAATTAAAAATACATATGAATAAAAAAATAAAATGTTTCACACATATTTAACGTACATAGATAAAATCGTATATTTTTATATCGCTGATATAAGTTTTTTAACAACTTAAGTTGACATGGAAAAAGACCTAAAAACACAATCATTCCCAAACTTAAGACGTATTATAATACGACAAACTTTAAGAGTAGACATGATAAAGTATTTTACGTTAAAGTGTTGTGTTTTCTAATAGGTTGGTTTACGTTAGCCATCTTTACTCTCCCGATCAACCTGTTGACGAGAGCGTGCATATTCTATCATATTTGTTAAATTCTTGTTATTTCCTTGTTTTATTTGTTGAATTTGTTTAAAGTTAAATAAAACTAGTTTTTACGGGTTAATGCACGAAACTTTATTTATTTATTGACGTTTCGCAGCCTTTTCAGGTCTGCATCGTCAGAATAATGCAGTAAAAACTAGTTTTATTTAATGAGTGATGTGCGCGAAAACCTAAGAAACAAATATTGTTTAAAGTTGTTAATAAATTAAAGGTAACATAAATTATACGTAATCATTGACTAGTGGGTACTATCTGACATTATAAAAGTTTTAGAACCTCAGATTCTTTGTTTACATTTTGTCTCACGCCAAAGTGAATAGACTATAGTAATGGAGCTCCCTCAATTTGGACGGTAAACAAGAACCTAATTATGTATTAACAAAATGAATACAAGCATGAAGCTAGTCCATCTTATGATTTTATTTATTTTTTAAGCATTTAACTGCTAGATGTTTAAATCTAAAATAAATAAAATCATAACTATAATTGCTATTTCTTCTTTCAAATGTTTAATACTTGAAAAAGTATTCATTTGACATTGTGGGTTGCCTACAATGCGAAGAGATGGCGCTGCCTTGCAGCTTAAAGCCTAGAAAAATTTCGACGCGGCTAATAGGGCCGTGGTAGCATAATAGTCCATCTTATATTATAAATGCGAAAGTGTGTCTGTCTGTTACCTCTTCACGCTTATTTCACGTGAAGCGCGCAGCGAAAAAAAGAGTCATCTTACCGATTTCAGTTATACTTATTTTAGTATGTTAATAACTGAACATACATATATCCTCGGCACAGATATTTTGGAAAATTTTTACATTTCCAAACCTATGTTTCAAAACATAGTTCAGGGGGCCAATCGCCTAACGGAAATGCTTTGGGAAACGCTAACGCTTACGATTTTATATTGTTATTTCTAGCCGCCTGAGGTTTTCGAATACCTCACGCTCATTTTTTTTAATATTGTTATTACCAATGCAAAAGAAAAAGAAAGAGTGCGAGGCATTCCAATACCTCAGGCGGCTAGAAATAACAAAATAAAATCGTAAGCGTTAGCGTTTTCCAAAGCATTTCCGTTAGGCGATTGGCCCCCTGGTCTTTATCAGTTCAATAACAGCAATTTTGAAACAAATTGATAATTGAATAATATACATCATTTACCACCTTCTTCATCTTTATATTTTCGAATTAGTTTTTATTAATTGCTAAAAAATATTAAAGAAAGAAGAAGTCGGGGCAACATATAGGCTATATATTATCACACTATCACCTACGGCCTGGGTTCCGAACCTGGGGGTAATTACCCCTCCGGGGCTAAATCAGCCATACTTCGGGGGTAACAAAGAACCTAATTATTTGGTCGAATCTAAATAATAAGAAAATACTATATAATAATACTACTATATAGAGTATGCACTCCTTCTTGCTAGTGAGCCCGCGGGGTGCTGAGTGTGGGAAGCGGGGCGAGATTTTCTCCTGATGATGACATTATTAGACACGAAGATAATAATAATAAATAAATAAATATTTCCAACACACACCAATTAGCCTAGCCCCAAAGTAAGGACTGTAGGCTTGTGTTATGGGATACTAGGGTAACGGATAGAATACATATATACTGATACAGAAATAAGTATATTTATATAGAAATACATATTAAACATCCATGACTGGAGTACAAATGCTCGTATTCGTCACACAAACATCTGCCCCCACCGAGATTAGAACCCGAGACCGCTCGAGTAGGCGACACCTTGAAACCCGGCGTACAAACCACTCGGCCACGGAGGTCCTCAAAAGATAGAGAGACAAAGATATAGCAGCAAAATTGGAATTTCTTGGACTGATGATAACATTTTAAAGTCGGGGTAAAATCTGTTTTCCTAATAGGTTACAGGGGTAGCAGTATTGGGAAGGTTAGGAGACACTGACCTACGGGGAACGAGCAGTGAACCTTTATTTCTAAGTAACTACACGCGTACGAAGTCGCGGGCAGTAGCGGCCGCCGTATTCAATAACTCTTGATTATATGTGTCCGTGATGCTAGCGTACCCACGATCAATATACGGTTTTTCGTTATGCCATTAAATACTGCGTAAATAGTGCCAAATTAGTGTAAAAATAAAAAAAATAGTGCCTCTTTAATTTAAGAAATAAAGACCATTTTTACTGTGTACGCTACCATGACGTCAAGCTAGCGTACCCATGGCCGACCCCAAGAACGGCATATATTTAAGCAACGAAATTGACACACAAAAATAGTTCGCAAATAGTGCCCTGGCTTTACAAAATTTCATAATCAATACTCTTAAAGGACCAAAGATATTGAACTAAACATTTATAGCTGGCGTCAACCTGGCGTACCCATAATAGTTCTCATAGAAAATGAACTTTTATCGTTATCAATTCTATATGTATAATTTTATTTTTACACTAATTTGGCACTATTTACTCAGTATTTAATGGCATAACGAAAAACCGTATATTGATCGTGGGTACGCTAGCATCACGGACACAATTATATACGTTTTTTGAAGTGAAACTTCTTTATGCACGCTTGACTTGGGGGGTAAGCTGGCGAATGGGAAAATCAAGAGGTTCATTTCTGGGTTGTAGTATTGCATTGTTTAATAAACTGACTAAATTTAAATCTCAGATCAATATCTTTTGACCAGATGCATTTTGTATATTTTAATTCAATAAAACTTTTTATTCTCGATTTATGCACATTCACATTGTTATAATTACGTGTGATGTGCCACTACAATAGCTAAAGGTATACGTGCCCACGATAATAATCAAATACGAATTAAACGTCATCATCACAACAGACAACAGTCGCTTCATGAGGTGCGTGATAAAAACGCCACAGGACAACGGCAATCATGTATTCTGAATGTAGCGAGCAAGACGCGAACGCACAGCTTACATAGAAAAAAAAAACAGAGTATATATAACTTTTTTCCGCCTGTAAATAACGAAACAGTATCTACCTCAAATTTTGATTTAAGAACTTTTCCATAGACAGAACATTTTCTCTAAAAACGTTTGCACGAAATACTTATCTATGTTATAAAAAAAAAAGTTCACTCTCTAGTTACGGGTTTTAGAATTAAGTACCGAAAGTTATATCGCTTTTAAATAAGAACAATGTGTGGTGTGGTCCTATTCAAAGTCTTCATAATGCTAAGTGCATTTACATTAATTACTGAGGCTCAATACTCCAGAAAGGATAATATGGATGCGCCAGTGGTGAGTGATAAACTGTATTATCTATATATAGTATATTTTATTTAAATATTAGATTAATATTTTTACGTTTGGACTCTGCCTGATCTTTTTCTTTTTATCTGTTAGTTACTTTGTATTATATTTCATAGCTTCCTTATATATTTACTATTTTCATCTAATATATAAAATTCTCGTGTCGCGGTGTTTGTGTTGTTGTTAAACTGCTTCGAAACGGCTTTCCCGATTCTCATGAAATTTTGTGTGCATATTGAGTAGGTCTGAGAATCGGACAACATCTATTTTTCATCCCCCTTAATGTTAAGGGTAATCCACCCCTAATTTTTTTTTTTCAATTTTAGATTTTTTTTAATTTTTTTTATAATACAGCATTAGTAAATACATATAACCCTGGGACAGCTAGTATTCTTATATTTACGTCTATTTTATTTTGTTTTTAAAATGCACTAGCCCGCAGTTTCTTCTATTTTCATGGTATGGTTTCATTTAGCCAAAGGTTGCCTGGTAGAGATTGCTACCTTAGCAATAAGGCCGCCTTTTGTGTTTGTGTTCCTTGAGTTTATATGTTGTATATATTTTGTTAAATAGTGCAATAAAGAATATTCATTCATTCATTCATTATTTTTACGTACATTTGATATCTCGGCTGGTTTAATTTATTTTAATTAAAAAATCTGTTTTGCAGTTTTGGATAACACAATTATCCAAATTTATAAATTGCTCCTTCATTTACAAAATTGACTAAAGTAAGATCTATAGTTATCGGTAAATACTTGTACCGCTTATAAAATGATTGTTTACTAGACGATAAAAATATCATGTAATTTACTTATTTAACAAACTACCCAGTATTATTGTCAGATAATAATGTGTGATTATGGAAGTAACGGAAGGTATCGGAAAATATTATTTGTTGTAACGATGTGTAGCTCGGGAGTTGTCAAAAATAACTCAGACTCGTTCAATTGCCTACCGGAGACCCTAGCTCAACATATGTATGCTCAGTCAATTGGTTAGTGCATTCGCCCGGATTGCGAAGGGTGCGACTCAACAGACATATGATAGGAAGAAATCCAAATACAATCACTGCCTATAGGAGACCCTAGCTCAACATATGTATGCTCAGTCAATTGGTTAGTGCATTCGCTCGGATTGCGAAGGGTGCGACTCGATAGACGTATGATAGGAAGAGATCCAAATACAATCACTGCCTATCGGAGACCCTAGCTCAACATATGTATGCTCAGTCAATTGGTTAGTGCATTCGCCCGGATTGCGAAGGGTGCGACTCGATAGACGTATGATAGGAAGAGATCCAAATACAATCACTGCCTACCGGAGACCCTAGCTCAACATATGTATGCTCAGTCAATTGGTTAGTGCATTCGCCCGGATTGCGAAGGGTGCGACTCGATAGACATATGATAGGAAGAGATCCAAATACAATCACTGCCTACCGGAGACCCTAGCTCAACATATGTATGCTCAGTCAATTGGTTAGTGCATTAGCCCGGATTGCGAAGGGTGCGACTCGATAGACATATGATAGGAAGAGATCCAAATACAATCACTGCCTACCGGAGACCCTAGCTCAACATATGTATGCTCAGTCAATTGGTTAGTGCATTCGCCCGGATTGCGAAGGGTGCGACTCGATAGGCATATGATAGGAAGAGATCCAAATACAATCACTGCCTACCGGAGACCCTAGCTCAACATATGTATGCTCAGTCAATTGGTCAGTGCATTCGCCCGGATTGCGAAGGGTGCGACTTACGGTTGCCAGATTGGCTGGACTTGGCTGGATTGTCCAGCTATTTTACACGTTGTCCAGTGTCCCGGTTTTAGGCAAAATGTCCAGCTAAAATGAAGCTGAAAATTAAAAACCACTAGTATTAGTGGTTTTTCCACAGAGTTGGCAACACTAGCTCCGCTGCGGCCTCTCGCTATCTATGCCCGGGATTGAATTCAATAATTCGATTGAACTTTGACGAAAATTGTACTAAATTTAAATCTTTTCTAAGTACAGATAAAGGTTCTAAAATGATAAATGCGGCTAAAGGAAATGCTAAATATATGTGGCAGAAAAAGTTATTTCATATTAATTTTGTTTAATTAAGGTTCCTCTGTTTTGTAATAATAAGCAATTTTTATAATCATGCTGATTATTTTTGTCCAGCCAAAAATCTTAATGTCCAGATATTTTATAATGTTGTCCAGAAATTTTGATTTCTCAATCTGGTAACCCTAGTGCGACTCGATAGACATATGATAGGAAGAGATCCAAATACAATCACTGCCTACCGGAGACCCTAGCTCAACATACACACATCAAAAGTGTCTAGGGATCAAGCATTTTTATGCGGATTTCTTGAGATTGAGATGTGGCTTTGTAATAAATTTATGATTTTATAAATTTATATGGATCCTTTTTGGTGCATTTCATAATTTGAATCAGGAACTGTGAATCAAATTCGAGTTAAAGATGAAAATCAGCTGTCAATATTTTCCCTATAAAAACATACAACGCATTGAAGACATTATTAGTGCTACTGTTTCCCTACTACTGATTAAAACCAACGTTATTATGGAGCGGCGACGTCATTTAAGCAGGGAAGAAATGCTCAGAGCCGTGGGAATGATAGAAGCTGGTTCCCGGCAACGTACTGTGGCTTTAGCTCTGAATACAAGTCAGAGTGTTATCAGTCGACTTTGGACACGATACCGAAGCACTGGTACCGTGGCTGAGCGCCATGGAGGACGGTATCGCTGCACCACACGGAGACAAGACCGATACATTCAAATCTTAACTCGAAGAGCTCCAACAATAACCGCCATGATGTTAGCCGTGAGGCTTCATCACTCTTCAGGGAACTTAATTAGCGACCAAACAGTCAGAAACCGCTTGCATGAAGTGAACCTTCATTCCCGAAGACCGCTACGGGTACCACCTATAGCAATGCACAATCGTAGGATTCGATATCAATGGGCTCTTGAACACAGAAATTGGGCAGAAGAACAATGGCGTTTCGTGTGCTTTTCTGATGAGTCTCGTTTTGGTATGAGACCGGATACAAGACGTATACGACACTGGAGAACCCCTGGACGCCAACAGCGATTAAAATCCTGCCAGGAAGTCCATCCTTATAGTGGTGGAACCATCATGGTATGGGCGGGTATTTGGATCGGCGGAAGAACTGAGTTGATTTGGATCAGAGGCAACCTCAACGCTCAAATTTATGCTGAGACGATTGTATCAGACGTCATCGTTCCTCTACAAGTGCAAATCGGTCCCTTATTTCAGTTAATGCATGATAATGCACGACCGCACACCGCAAGAGTTGTAAGACAGACTCTCGCCGCAGCTAACATCAATGTCCTGCCCTGGCCTGCTCAGTCGCCAGACTTGAACCCGATTGAGCATGCATGGGATATGCTACAGAGAAGAGCTCTGCCGAATATGGAGGGTATCCAGTCGCAAGAAGACCTTTTTTTGTTGTTGCAACGAACATGGGCGGCCATTCCACAGCGTGATTTGGATGAACTCATTTTGAGTATGCCAAACCGATGTTCTTTTGTTGTTAGTGTTCGCGGTAGAAATACGGATTATTAATTGTTTAAGTTACCCAATAAAATTTTAGAGAAAACTGTTATTTCAGTCTTTTTTTCGAACTTTTAGTGTTAGTGGTTCAAATGTCAAAAATCCCTTTATTAGGAAAATGGCAAATTTCTTTATTAATGCAAAGGTGACTTGGTTTATCGTTACTGTGACAAACGAAAACACTTTATTTGATGAATCCTTAAAGAAAATTTTAATTAATATCAATCAGGAGAAAAGTTATTGCAAAAATATATGTTGATCCCTAGACACTTTTGATGTGTGTATGTATGCTCAGTCAATTGGTCAGTGCATTCGCCCGGATTGCGAAGGGTGCGGGTTCGAGTGCCGTCTGCTGCCTGGTCCGCGTAGAATTTTTTCTAAGCATCAAGCAGTTACATGCTTTGAAAATAATAAAAATTATAAATATGAAATATATTAGAAATCATGGTTTTGTAATGTAAATTCAGAGAGGTTATATCCTGCGAGTGTTTGTTTACTATTGTTCCCGTCATACCATAGATAATCTATAGACTAAAATGGCCGACAGCGTTTTTGTATGTCCATGAAAAATCTATTTTAATATCAAAGTTTTGTAGCTTTCTAGGTAAAAAAAAAATACAATACATTTTTTTCGGTCTAATAGAACAATTATTAACCATTTAAAACATATTTCCAAAAAGTGTCAACTAGCCTATTGTCAACATGCATCAGTGGTTCAGTGGTAGAAAGCCCTTAGGCTTTTAGGCCTTTAAAAGTCTCACTTTTTCTTCATTTCATTTACTAACAATGGTTTCTAGTGTTGCTGAACTATCGATATGAAAACTATCGACAGTTTACATCGAAAATCATGTACCCTATAGATAGGCCTATCGATAGAATCGATACAATCGATAGTATCGAAACTATCGATAGCACAGAACAAGGCAAGACTATCGAATGAGTGCAATAGTATCGATACTATCGATACTATTGTAGTTCGTTAATAACAAACTATTGATAGTATCGATACTATCGATACCGTTGATTTTATCTGCAACAATACTATCGATAGTATCGATACTAGCGATTGTTTTAGACTATCGATAGTCTACCAATTTGCAATAGTATTAGGTATGTTTTAACAGTATTGTAGTTGAAGACTATTAGAGGCCGATATATATATTTTTATAAACATTTTTATCGAGCTGTGCTAATTCTAATAGTTGATTGTGATTGACTATAATACCTGAAAATTGTAAACAATACTATTGCAAATTGTTAAACTATCGATAGTATAGTTGCAAATAAAATCGACAGTATCGATACTATCGATAGTTTGTTATTACCGACCTACAATACTATCGATAGTATTTCACTCATCCGATAGTATTGGCTTGTTCTGTGCTATCGATAGTATCGATAC